ACAAAAGGCAAAGCATGCAACATCAATGGCCGAAGCAAGATGATGACAATGACGATCGAACACCAAACTAAGATGTGCATGTTTTCCACCAATTCAAAGTGAATGGACCGACCAACCCAAGTTACCTGCTCTGCTAAATATAGGTCTGCAAATTCAAAAGGATCCATACATATATATGTATGCATCGCTAGTACTGCATCAAAAGCATGTGCATGCATCACCAAAGACCAAAGATATATCTCCGAATAATGACCTTTTTCTAGGCCGACACAAATGCCCCGCAAACGAATTCGTGACGAGGATTTAGATGGCTGGAATTTCTGGTGCTCCATCTCCTTGACGTGACTCAGATATTCACCTCATGACGCTGTGTGGTGGTGGAGAACAATTGTGTGAATTTAACTTTTGATCTAAACAATACAGGTCCTAATTGAGAATTTTAGCCGATATAGGTCCTTACAACTCTTATATCCCAGACATAAATCCACTTACAATTAAACCTCTAACTAAAACCCAAATTTGACATACGTTGTCGTGTAAGATAGATATGTCCAAGTATTATTAACTAAATTACATTGTATGTCATTTACCTTCATATTTTGGAGGATGTCATTAACTCCTTGATTTCTAATTAATACTCCCTTATTTCTAGCATAGCAATATTCATCAAATCCCTAAAATTTAGACAAAAACAAATCCATAAATTATTTTATAATAGATTAATTCTACAAATTTTCCACTCAGTTAATAAAGTTAACTTAAAGGAACGTGTTTTTTTTTAAAGGTAAATTATTAATAAATAAAAGAATTGGTATGTACATTATAGGTAGATTATTCATTTAAAAAAAAAAAAAAAGAGGGTAGATTATTCACACAAAAAAGAGGTATTTATTTATATAAAAACATAGGTAGATTATACATTAAAAAAAAAAAAGTAAGTACAGTATTTAGGTAACAAAAAATAGATATGTTATTTATTGGTACATTTACAAAAGATATGTTCATAAAAAAAATAGGTATATTATTCATAAGAAATAGGTACATTAGTTCATGCTAAAAAGGTGATAGGTATGTTAAATGTTTCTTCGTAGATTCAATAGGCCCAAATCGTGACTTACTTAAAACTTACCCCAGAAATTTCTTAAATTTAAGCCAATTTAAAACACCATTTGATGTTTTAGTTTCTAATCAAATGCAATCATTTCCTAGCATTAATAATGAGTAATAATATATCATCGTTTCATTTCAACCAAAAAAAAAAAAAAAACTATTTGAATATTAATGACAATTGAATAGCATTAAATATGTTCAAAGTAATGACAATTGAATAGCATCAAATATGTTCAAAGTATATTCATAACAACCAACGGAGAAAACAACAATTGTAAAGACGTGGGGGTATTTTGGTCATCTAAAAATTATAATAAATCAGATCTTGAACGTGATAAGTTAACTTTATGAGTTGGATCCTAATCATGAGTTTTTATTGATAAAAAATGAGTTTTATTAATAGGAACAAAATGCGATGAGTTACAGTTAAGGAAAATTCAATTTGGAGCGGGTAAGCCAAATTTACTATTTTTTTTGTTTATCATCTGTCATCACATTCTGATTATCAGATACAGCTGCAGTCTGCAGATGAGAAGACTCTACACATCAAACACCATATATAATATCAAGTCGAACTTTCTAATTTAGCACAGAAGAAGGTATTGCAGAAAAATGAGAAGCATGCTAAACACATGAATATGAGAAAAAGGGATCCAATGTGACAGCTAGCTAACTAGAGAGCCAGCCACTCCAAAGTTTGAAATTCATCACGTCCGTTCCCAGCAGCGAGCAAAATAAATTAATTCTAATAATGAAATTTATATAATCGTCTGCATGTGAGGGTCCAAAACCCTAATTCCTTACCAGACGCTGTCTCTAGGAAATCGAAGTCCCACAGAAACCAGATTGAAAGCGCTATTGACTATGATGCCAAACAAGTTGGGTCAGGGGCAGAGGGGGCGTGGGGCATGGGGCATGGATGGTGTCCTAAGCACAGATTGATCTGTCCTTTAGGTTAAAGACCATCCTAACCTAATGCAATCCATGTGACATTCAAAATCCATGTGGAGAGAGCCAGATATACTATAGCTATGGGTATCGTCAGAAAACAAACAAACAGGAGTGTACGTCTGAAAATTAAACCCAATATTGTTTATATTCTAGCTAGGTACCTGCTACATAGCTGTAGCATGACAATGGAATATATATATAGCCTGTGGAACCCTAGCAAGCTATATATAGCCTTTCAGTTTCAGATGGGATTCAGATGAGCAGCATTCAAAATTTTGGTCTAACTTTTTTTGTTTCTGGGTCTTGGATCATGTCGTGTTTGCAGAAATTAGGTTAAAGAAGTTGACACTACATCATCAAATCATATATTCGTTGCGCACCAACTCAACTTTTGTCACGTGTAATGGAATGCCAGTTGATTTTTCTAGCTTTCTAATAATAATACAGGACAATAATCTTAGGGGTAAGTTAGAAAACCTTTTTTGATCTACAGTACCAGACCACATGTCTTGATCTATGTTCTTTTCCTTGAGCATTCATACAAGTTGATGGATGGGAATGCAGAGTTTTTTTTCTCATCTTGGGTATTCATAATGGTGCCAATGCTTGTGGTCCAAACCTCCCACATCCAACAAAGAGTACAAAGAAATAGTTGAATGTAGGACCACCCCAAGAGATGATTTTAAATAACTCCAGTTAATGTTCATGTATTTATATATTTAATAAGACAAGCAAAAGCTCAGCTCTGCCTCATTCTAATTGAAAAACTTCTACTTAAGATGAAAGCCTTCTGACGGTTAACATGAAAATAGAAATCCATTCATCTAGATATATATATATATATATATATGTCGTTTTTGTTTTCTTTTCTTTTTTCTATATAAAAGGGGATTCGAACTTGGGTGCAAGAGGACGGACTCACTCACTACCTTAATGATATGCCCTATCATCATGATGTTAGCACCTAGTAAACTTAGTACCCAAAATCCCATGAAATGAATCTAATTCAACAAGAAAAGAAAAAAATGTGAGTGGGAGATGTTGGCACTAAGTGGGAGATGAAGACATGAAACATTATATAGGGCAGCAACATGCCAAATACCAATTGGCAGCTGGCTTTCATTCAAGGTCCTGTTGCTCCAACGGGGTTACAATGCCTGAGAGAAAATAATTTATGTGTTCCTGTAATAAGGGACATCTGTCGTCGGAGGTGAACCAAACCCTATTTTGAAATCACATCAGACAGTATAAGCCAACCACAGAAATTACCCCACTACACATATATTATGTGCGGGAAGGTAAATATGTGCATGGTGGTAGGGTCTTGAGAGCACCATGGACAAAGCCTGCTCTGTGGCTGTGGTCCATCCATGCTTCACCAGTGTGGACAAGATCTAGCACCATCCATCATGATCTTGGAGTGGTCAACTGAGCAATCCTGATGTGGGTCCTACGTTTTGAACGGCTGAGATGACTTCTCGAGAAGCAGCACGATGTTTTAGCAAGCACTAGAATGATGTTAGTTTCCCCTTTCAGGTATGTATTGGACCCTATTTGGACGGTGAAGTAATGACAAGTCATTGGTATGGAACCAGTTTCTTACTTTCTCGTTAGGAACTATCAACTAACAAGAAATGGGGAGTTTTTAAAAGGTTGCCAGATTCAGGAAAAAGGTGAAATCCAATAAACACACATATGTTGTTTGTTGTTGACCAAAATAAAATAAAATAAACACACACACACATATTATATTAATATTATGCACAATACTCATGGGGTAACATGTAAAATTACTTCATTTACTTCTCATCTTTTTTACTTTTTATTTTTTATCGAACATTTACTTATTATTTAAAACTGATACCCTATTTTGTGGTGAGTGCGCGGCTGGGAAACTAATCATGTTGGTAAGATTGATACCCTGCTATTTTTGTGGTGCCTATCCATGTGCATGTGCATCATTTATATATAGCTCTTAATAGTAATGGTCCTCCTCCCCCTTTGCTTTGGTGTAGGAAGGAAATAAAAGAAAAATGAATAGTCCACCACCAACAATGTCTAGTCTAGTCTAGTGAAAAAATACCTTAATTTATGGACCAATGGTCTTACGTTCAAACCTCCATAACACCCTGACGTTGGCCATGTGTGTGAACAACAACAAAAAAAAGATAAGAAGAATAGGCCGACCTCCCTTTTTGCTTTTATTATCTCATTTCCTTTTTGGTAGGTAAATGTTCCTTTTTAATTGGTACTAGATAGAAAGAAACTTGATTGGACTAGATTTTCCAACCTCTAATTAAAACGACGTAACTTCTCCTCTTTGTTGTAAACGTTGTAGCTATTTTCAAGAGGAAAATGCTAAGCAGACAGATCGAATTTATCCGTCTAATGAAACTGATGGATTATTTGTTAGTTTAATGAATTGCATTTGACAATTAAAAGAAAGATGTGGAGTGTGGACCTTGATTAATTATATATATCTTCATGAACCACATAATTAATTTAATGTTATGAAATTTCTAAGTTACTTGTGGATCCCACTAGCTAATAGGTATTAATTTCAGATTCAATCATAGGGTCCTATCGTTGACAGATATTTGGAATATAGATTAGATATTAATTAATAATAAATTAATGAGAATGTAATGCTCTGTGAAAAATAAAACTACAAATTTAATACTATTGTACCAACTTGTTGACACACAATTTATATATGTCTGGTTTATTTGAGAATGGGGTCTACAATTATATAAATATCTTTGGAAATTCAACATTTCCTCATGATTAATTTCATAAATAAATAACAATGAATAGTAACATGGAAGATGAAGAGGTTATAAAATAAAAAAAGAGAGAAGTAATGGTCATTGTTACAGCACTCACTCCCTCTTCTCCCCTTATATTGAAGGCTCCCCCAAACTCCACTTTCCTCTCCACGAGAGAGAGAGAGAGAGAGAGAGAGTTTTGAAGGAAGAAATTAGTGTTGAGTTGGTTTCATTTATACTGCAACTAGAGGAAGCATCCAAAGGGATCGCATTGATCCCAACTAGCTATGTCTTCCATGGTTTAATTTGGATCATGCTATCCCTTTGGATATCTCCTTTGGCAGCTTCAAACTTTTAGATATATATATATATATATATATCATGCGCATCAACAACTATAGATAATCAAGGAGTTCATCGGATTTCTTGCCTTTGAGGTAATTCAAACTTACCTATATATATTCTATGCATGATTAATCTCTCTTGTTTCCAGACATACATGTTTTCTTTTCGGTTTTTCGGTTTTGCTTTCAAAACTCATAGAGTTTCATCAAGAACCAACATTTGAATGTTTTCATTAACTTTGCCTCAAAATTTTCCAGTCTAGCTATAGCTTTTTGCTTGGCAAGAACATGAAGAAGAAAAAAAAATGCACCTCAAACATTCAAGTCTAGTTTGGTTTGTAAACTGATTTGTGTTGTCCTTGAGCTAGTAATTTTATTTTGAAGGTACGTATATACTTTGATAGTGGTAAATTCATGTTGATGCAATCTCTTATTGTGATATCTGTTTAAGATTCCTTAAGTTGTGCATAAATTCATGTAATTTGTGGTATACGAACGCGTTGGATCTGATTTCCCTGGGGATGCATCTGGGCGCTAAAACCCAGAAATCTTAATCTCCTTCTTTATAGTTGTCATGGATGTTAATTTTATTTGCATACGGTGTGTGAGTGTGTGTATGTGCTTGTCAACAACGATAGGTTAAAACCCAACCCAAGGAAATTAATAACAGATTACATATCTACGGTGAAGATATACGAATGTTAAATTCTGCAGTCAGTGTCCATTTTCTCAAGCAATATATATATATATATATATATATGCAGGTGAGTTTGATTAAACCAGAAGGATCTTTTGCAACTTTTTTACTCAAACACCTGTATAAAGCGAAACATAAAAGAAGGTTGCATATTAAAAATTTGTAGTATAGTTTTGATGTTCGTGTTCATGAGTCATGATTAACAGATAATTAGTGGAAGCTAGCTAGCTAGCTAGATGAACATTGCAACTAAAACAGTGCCATATGATAATAATTTCTACATGTGTCTTGGGTTACAATTTACCCCATTTTCTGAAACTTTTGATGATTGCGTGCGTCTCAGCAATTTGATTATTTTCAATTTTTTGACCTTCTGTAAAGGTAACTTTATCATAGAAATAGTATGAGAGTAATTACCTCTGTATTTAGCATCGATGGGAGAGGCTCGGGATCCATTTTCATTTAGCATGAACCAAGTTTTGCTGACTCTATTTTATGCTTGTCGTAACAGAACAGACTAGCTAACATGGCCACACATTGCTATGGCCCAAAGTCAAGGCTCCATAAATCACATGCTTTTGAAGACTTTAATTAGAATCCAAGGCAGTGGAAGATGAGATATATATAAACTCAGAGAGACTTCCTTTTTTTCTCCCACCCTGGGCCTCACATTGAGTGTACCGAAGGCAAAGGCAAAGGCAAAGGCATCATACACATGTGATGAGACCTTAATTAAGAAAAAGTCCTTTTAATTAGCCACCATTGCTCTAATTTGAAATAAAGGGTCATTTTGTTATACCTCATACATATGCCACATGACCCCAACATTCTAACACTCTCCCACCATCCTTTTGTCACATGGCCACAACCTTCCACCATCTCACTTTCCTTAATTAATTATTATTAATTGAGTAGATGTACTTAAAATACGTGTGCGTCGATTGCATACATTTCTCTCACAACATGTATATAGAATTTACTATGTGTAAATTGTAATGAGCCTCATGTTGAGTTTTGTCGATGATGCAGAAAAGCATAAAAGAATTCCATCATTGCAGAAGCTTCCTAAATCTAAGCAAAGTTAAGGAAAATCAGCAAATTTCTACTAGAATATGAGTGGTCTACGCTGTGATTATTGATCATCATTATGTTAGTCAATAGTAATGATCTGATTCTTCACTAAAACAAATAGGGTGATCAATATTCAAATCAAATGGGCTCATGGGGTCCAAGCAGAGGAAGAATTGTTGGGGCACCAGAGTCCATGCACAAATTATCTTCAATTGTAAGATATGTACTCCAATTGTCTCCCTCTATCACTACACAAAGCTTTGTCAAGGACACAAACTGCCAAAAGAAAACCAGAGTGCATGAATTTTTCTTTGCAATTGATCAGAAAGGAATTGGATGCTCCTTGCTCTGCAGACTGCAGAGGGGCCCAAAACGCTTGACTTGCCTCTAGATTCAAACCCATACACTCCAATTTCTTCCTTCTCTTTTCTCTTTTTAATATTGCGCTTTGTGAAACACAATTTTCAGCCATGTATTGGGGATCTGCAGGATTTTATTTGATTTTTTTTTCCTCATTATTTGGGGAATTTGATTGAGATGTGTATAAAGTTGACCATTGCCTTAAGTTGTTATCAAAGTTCCATCTTTTTTAGGGAAGACAATGGAAAGTTTATTTATATTATGTTATATTCTCCCTTTCATAAAATAAAAAAGTTATATTCTTCCGAACCTATTCTGACTGTGCCCATACCTATTATAAATCAATTCAAAATATAATCTATTTAGACAGAGGCATCAAATCAAAGGGTAAAAATTTCAGAAACCCAAAAAATACCATTCATTAACTAAAATGTTAATGGACTACAAATTAATGTAATAGGGATAAAATAGTAGAAAACTTATTATTAAAAAAAAATTAAAAACAAAACAAAACTCACTTCAAAAACCCTAATCCCCTCTTTCTCAAAAAACACTCTAGAGCCGTATTCACTTTGAGAGCGAAGGACGCCGCTGTTCTTCCTCCCTTCTCCCTTCCTCCATTCTCCTCTCTTTCCCCATTTTCACAGACATAAAGTTTTCCCTATTTGTTTTTGTTTTGTTATGATTTTCCTCCACTCATCCCAGGCGGATGCATCTTGACATCGGATCTCCACTTACGTTTCGTTGTAGGATCTACACAACCATTATTTTTGCGATTTCTTCATGTTTGGAATAAATTATAAAGATTTTTTGGGTTTTCTGTGTAGTTTTCACCTCTTTTGTGAGAGTTTTATTTGTATTGCTATGATTTGGGTTTTTCAAGGTTCATATCTTTTTGGTAAAGTTTGCAATATTAGTTGAGATGTCTATGTTAGAGTTTTTTCGATCCTGTGTGATTGTTAGTGGTAGTGCACAAGATTGTCTTAATTTTGATGTTAGATCACTCCATTATTGTAATTGTCCATTGTAGTTAGTGTTTTTTTTTTAATACCTGAATTATGAATGCAATTTCAAAATTTCAAAATTTCAAAAAAAATATTAGGGTGAAATTGACCAAACAAAAAACCAATGGTCATGACTTTTGACTCGTGCTTTTTGAAAGATCAGGGTGTGGAGGCGATACGACGTCGTTACTCCTATATATGTTGCGAATTCTTTGTTTCTTACTATTTTTGGGCAAAGGAAAATGGGAAATGCGTACCATATATAGAAAAATGGTTTTCTTGATGAAATAAATAGGGAAATGGTGAATCCGCTTTGATTCGGGAAGTGGACGAAGACTCGGTTTCTGCAAATATCATGGCGAAATTCATCATTTTCAGCTGCAATTTCCCCTTGATTTTCCTCCTGTCTTCGTTCTATTTCCTGACCCTACAACCCATTTCCTCTTCATCACTCAAATCCCTAAACAACAACCCCAACTTTGATTCCGAAATTGCTCTCTTCGGCGACGCCGAGCCCGTAGACGCTGGCTCCTATGTCAACATTACCCGGCCATCGGTCTCAAGCGCCGGTCTTCTACTTCGCCAGAAGCCCTTCAAATTTCTCGATGCCAATCTCAGCAGCCCGACGTCGTTTTCCACGGAATTCACCTTCTCGATGACGCCTGGCAGTGGCGACGGCCTTTTACTGGTTTTGGCTCCCAAAGATTTTGGGTCCACATTCTCGGGTAAGGGCCCGTTTGGGCTTAACGGTGAGAATCGATTTCTGGGTATTGAATTTGACACCGAAATGAATGGAAATGTAAACGATTTAAATGCCAATCATATAGGGGTCGATGTGGGTAGCTTTGTATCTCTCACTGTTGGTAATGTTTCTTCATTGAATTTAGAGCTTAACAGTGGAGAAAAGTTGAAATCTTGGATTGATTATGTTGCTAGTTCGAAAAGATTGGAAATTAGGCTAAGTAAATTGGGTGAACCAAGGCCTTACAATCCGATTACGGCATACGGAATTGATTTGTTGGGAATGTGGAAAAATGAGGATGTGTATGTAGGTATTAGCTCTTCGAATTCGAATGGCAATTCGTCACAGATTAGCAGTGTGTATTCATGGTCATTTAGGCTAAGAAACATTCCAAATTCAATGCATTCTCTTCCAGTGAATCCAAGGGGATATTTGGATGAGCATGGTGAGCATTTGAGTGTGCATAAGCGGCGTGTTTGTCCATTGACAGTTCTTGCTGGGATGATTTTCGTGACTGGTTGTGGAGCGTTGGTGGCTTTTATGGTGCTGTTTTTGTGGGCTATTATCATTAGTAGGCACACGGTGTTCCCTGCTGAGTTTCCTGTGAAGCCTGTGGATTTCAGGTATGAGAAGATCAATGTAGTTGTAGAGAAGGATGCTGATAGTGTCAAGAAGTAGAGCATATAAAGGTGCCACCTTTTGCTTTGAATGTATGTTGCTAATGTTGTTGCAAGTTGTAACGAACAAACGTAATGAATTCTGTTGTTATGGTTGTGCATTTAGATAGTCAGCTTTGATCAATCAGCTCTGATGATCAAATATGTCGTGTATATATATGGCTCTGTCTTTTTCAGGCATTATATGTAGCTCAATTTTGTGCAATGTAGCATGAAAATTTTATTATTTGCATTACCAGTTTGAAAGGCTATATTGTTTCTATAGTAGATTTTATGTGATTGTCCTCTCATGAGAAAGTTATCTAAGTAGAAGGAACACAAGTGACGAGCCTGCTGATTTTTGTTTTTGCTTTTTAGCTGAAGGGTGCTTTATTGTCAACTTTTGTAGAACCTCATTCAAGAAATGAAATAGAGAGTTAACAAAATTTTCGATATGGTAGGCTAGGTATTGATTCAAGCATGGCCCCGTCTCCTCACCTTCCCCTTCTTCACCTTAGTCTAATTAGCATTGGGCAGAGTTCGTAGGAACTTCCTCAGCATTACCCTTAGCTTGTTGTAAGACCTTTTCATTGCCGATAGCCATGCTACATTCTACTTTCAAATCGACACATTAATTTGAATGACATAGCTTTGCTCCCCATTGTATGGTTCCATTAATAAAGAATTTGAAGTTTCTGTTCATGTCAATGAGATGTATTGTTGTCAGTGTCTATTTGCCGGTTGAATGGACAATTTGTATTTTTGAAACTTGGGGAAGAAGGTATTATGAGCCTCTTTAAAAACCATGCCAAATTGGTTTAGTGGCATGGTGTAGGGTACCCTCTCTGACTCTGGGATTGAGTTTTCTACAACAATGTTGTTCTTGATGAATGCTAGACTGGATGTCTTGGTCTGGCAAGTCAGGAGCCATTTTATATTCCAAGTAGGCTTACGAAACTGAGAGGATTGTTGTTGGCTCTGGGCCTCTCATCAGCTAGCAATAGATCTGCTTCAGTCAATATGTAGTTAGTATGAATTGTGTAAGCGCACTTGGGACTTGATATGATATGACTGACTTTATGTGTGGATAGCTTCTAGAAAAGGTGCATGAAGACATCTTCCTTCCTAATTCTTTATCACAGAGAACCAAAAATATCATAGCTTTGAAGCAATGGCATCACTTTATCAGTCATCAAAACCTAATAAATAAGTGGAAAATGATATTATAAAAGCAGCCTTATTAGGGCACCAAGTTTTAGTGGTAGCAAATAAAAGAAAGAAAGAAAGATGCCTAATAACAGCCCTAGTGGGTTTCAGTGCGACGTCTTTTCTTTATGTTGCCCAATCCTAGGCAAGTTCTGGGAATCCATGAATATGGATTTGCTCTGAAATTTTTCTCATGGTCACTAACCCACCATTATTATCTGTCATTTTCAGTCAAAAAGATAGTTTAATAAAAAAAACCCCACCATTACTCTTGATTTGAGATTCTGTATCCATCTAATCATTGTGAATAACGACATTCAATTATTTTTATCTTCGTTTTGTATAAGCATATTCGAAACAGGTAAATCGAACGCATAACCTCAAGTGTAAAGATCACAAGACACTCGCACATCCAATTTATTAATGAAAAACAAATATATCACTGACTGTATAAAAATTCCGAAAGTGTCACATGAGTGGCATATTATTCTCACTCATTAGTCTAAAACGCACCGTACAATTATTTGAAGGTGCTTTGAAGCATATGCGTTTCTTGCATTTGCATAGAATGTTTTCTATATCTATAGAAAAGTAGTAACTTTTTGTGTCATTAAGTATGAAGGTAAGATTCGAACCTGTGCAAAGAATTATCACTAGAGTTGGTATAATATACCGATTCTTATTCTTACCATATTGTTCTGCTATGATGTTGCATGGATACATGTACGAAAATAAGTATGGCTATGCTATGCACACAGTACCTCCCTTCAGTTCCGGAATCCTACAAGTGCGATGCGAGACAGAGGGCCGGCCACCAGCAACCATGGCGAGACGCCGGCCTGTTTTCTCATGTAGACAGAGATATGGCAGCGGGTAACGGTAAAAGTTTCAATTTTTACCATACAATTCATGTTTCATGATGTTGCAAAACTTTTGGCGGCTTCCCCAGCTAACCAAATTGAGAAAAAATGGTTGAGTGATCTCATATGCGTACAAATTGGAATAAATTAAGAAATAATTAAACGAATCAACATGTCAAAACAGTCGGTGGGTTGGTGGCCCATCGATTTTAAGATATTAAGATATCGTGAACAAACAAAAATAAAAATCTTAGAGAGATTCAACACCAAAACGTGCCAATAATTATTAGGGGAATACGACCATTTACACCAACGAATACGTGGCGCTTTCTGATCCGCCAGATCAATAACCAACCTTGAAGATCCACATTCCAAAAAGAACCCAATTGCAGAAAGACACTGAATATAACAGTGAATGGTCAAAATTGGAGCACTCTTCCCAGTGAAGGCAGTTGTCGACAACTTTATGACGGGAAAAATGTATAACGAACCCCACGGGATGAGAATTTAAGAGTCTTCGAAATGCACAAAAATCTGACACGCGCCTCCAACAAAGCAGCAAAGCGATGCGAGTGGTGAGGTCAACGAGAAGAAAAAGGAAAGGAAGAACATGGAGTGAGTGTATTTAACACGTATGATGTTGTTTGTTTTACGAGCGTAATTTGTGAAAAGATTGCAACTTTTTAATAATTTTCTAAATTGGGTGCCTCCTTATTGCTGGCTGAAAGGAATTCTATGCTTGTTTTCAGCTGAGGCACCTATAAATAGGCGAGGACGAAGGGAAGGTTAGGGCTACGCTGGCTGTGACATACATTTGGGAAGAAGAAGAAGAAGAAGAAGAAGAGGGGGAGGAGGAGGGAGAGCAGAGCACGCTGTGGCTACTGGCGGGGCAAGGAGAACATCAAGAGTTGACTATGGATGCTACTAGTGAAGTCTATTCTGGTTCTAGAAAGCTTCATGAGGAAGAAACTGCCGAAATCCCAGAAACCGCCCATCAGATTAGCACAGGTTTTCATTTCATTTCATTTTTTAAGTTTTGTTTGTTCATGTCATTTACCTCCCTGTTTTTTAATCTGGGTTTATGTTTGATTGTTCTGTTTTGAAAATTCAATCATGTCGACGGAGGAAATGATTGTGGTAATGGTTGGTTTTAATCATTTTCCAAAACCCCATAATGTATTTGAATTGAAAAGTGAATGCATGCAATGTTTTTGTCTGGAATTGAGGCTGTCAATAGGGGAAATGAATCGTTTTTCTGATTTTGTTTATTTGGTTCCTAATTGGAATTCATGAAATTATTGTTTTTGAATTGTGATTTGTAATAAACGAATGCGCAATGATTTCAAATAGCTCAGTGGCAGTGACATTGATATTGAAATTGCTTTCATTGTTTGTGAGCTCATATTACCTCTTTGGTTTCCATAGATTCATGGTTTCAAGTGGGATTTGTCCTCACCACCGGTATCAACAGTGCGTATGTGCTGGGATACTCTGGAAATGTAATGATTCCTCTGGGTTGGATAGGCGGTGTAATCGGCCTAATTATAGCCACTGCAATATCACTCTATGCAAACGCTCTTATTGCTAAGCTCCATGAATATGGTGGGGTTAGGCACATCAGATACAGAGATCTTGCAGGATTTATATATGGTAAAGTAAATGTATTGGTTGGATTCATTTCTTGAATATACCTTTCTTATTTCGTGGCTTATGTTTCCTTGTTTTGTTTCCTGATGGGGGCTATTTGATTGCAGGCAAGAAAGCTTATTCACTTACATGGGGATTGCAATATGTCAATCTTTTCATGATTAACACGGGATTTATCATTTTGGCTGGTCAGGCCCTCAAGGTGAGATCAAATGAGGACATGGGCTTGCATTTTTCTGTTACATTTGCATATTATATCCAATTCATCTTTTGCCAGTACTAGTAGTTATAAGTTTCCTGCTTTTTTGTTTCCTTTAGATTGGACTATATGCATATGAACAGATTATGTCTTATTTTCCTAAAACTTGTAGCCGTTACATTTGCCATGTAGGCTGCGTATGTTCTGTTCAAGGATGACCACGCCATGAAGCTCCCGCATTTTATTGCCATTTCTGGCGTTGTTTGTGCAGTATTTGCTATAGGGATACCACACTTGTCAGCTCTCAGGATTTGGCTGGGGTTTTCAACAGTCTTCAGCTTAATATATATTGTTATAGCATTCGTCTTGTCACTTCAAGATGGTAAGAATCATATTTCTTGAACAAGAGTTATTTTCTTTATTTAACTTGCCTGGATTTATCATGCTTTGAGTTTAATTCGGAACATGCACATGCCAGTTTCTTGTTCAATATGTTTAAATTAAGAATTTCTAGTGCTTTGTTATAGGACTTCAAGCACCGGCCAGGAGTTATGACATCCCGGGGACAAAAATAAGCAGAATATTTACCACAATCGGAGCGGCTGCTAGCCTGGTCTTTGCATTCAACACAGGAATGCTACCAGAGATACAGGTACCTGGAATTAAAATCTTTAAAGTCTTTGGTTGCTTAGCTGAGAAACTTCATGATTGTGTATTTTTCCAAATTCACTTTGGTTTGGCTGTGTTTATGTGACAGGCTACAGTGAGGAAACCAGTTGTTGAAAACATGATGAAGGCTCTGTACTTTCAGTTTACAGCTGGAGTTGTGCCACTGTATGCCGTTTGTTTTGTAGGGTATTGGGCATATGGAAATAAAACATCATCTTATTTGCTCAACAATGTCAACGGGCCGATTTGGGTGAAGGCAATGGCCAATATTGCTGCCTTCCTGCAAACAGTCATTGCTTTGCATGTATGTCTTTTTCTTTTTTTTTCTTCCAACCCCCGGCTTCTTACTTTCGGAAAATCTCATATCATGTTCTTATTGCTGCTTGTAGATATTTGCAAGTCCAATGTATGAGTATCTGGACACAAAGTTTGGTATTAAAGGAAGTCCACTGAAAATTCGGAACTTGACATTCAGAATTACTGTTAGAGGTGGCTACTTAGCCATTAACACACTGGTTTCAGCTCTTCTGCCATTCCTTGGAGATTTCATGAGCCTCACAGGAGCCATCAGCACATTCCCTCTCACATTTATTCTTGCAAACCACATGTACCTGGTGGCAAAGAAGGACAAACTAACTTCAGCGCAAAAGCTCTGGCATTGGCTAAATGTTTGTTTCTTTGCCCTTTTGGCCGTTGCAGCTTTAATCTCAGCCTTGAGGCTCATAGCAGTAGATTCTAAAACTTACCATGTATTTGCTGATCTATGATTAGGTTAGGTTTTCCTTTTTCATTCGATCCCACAAAATGTATTTCATTCACGTTTGGCAGTTAGGCCTGTCTTTTGTTGAAAGCTTAGGCATTTAATAGCATAGCTTAATTGTTCAAAGATTTGTTTCCTCCAGAGTCAAGTAGCATACACGACATCTTAACGGACGATATTATACTGATAGGATAAAGATTACTTTTATCACATCCAAAAAGTAAAAAAAATTTCTCTTAGCTTATATGTTTGATAATTACTCCATGTACTGTTCAAGGTTTATCGGAGTAGGAACAAAGGGTAGCAAAAAGACCATCAGTTAATATTTTGGAAACGTCAATGCATTCGACGCAATATCCTTGAATAAATTTTAAAGGAATTTTAATTGCTAACAGATAGAAAAGTGAAAGGCAAGGAAGGATGAGCGACAGAGAGGGTGATGTTAAAATGCACAATTGATATGTTGGCAAAGAGTTTCCGAACAGTGAGGTGCAAGAGCTATTTCAAAATTACAACAATCAAACAATATCAATCAACCTAATGCTTCAGCCTTCCAAGAAACCAGAGATCCATTTGGCAGATTTCCCATATCACTTTGATGAATCTTCAGAACAATCTGCAACCATTCTGAAAGAAAAGAAAATTTCAATGACATTATGGATAAAATTATGACATTAGCAGTTTTTTCCCAGCACAGAAAAGAACCAAGCCAAGCTCAGGTGAAGACCACCCCGAGTGAAAGAATGCTCTCATAGATATAATAGTGTTCCATTAGACTGAACATTAAATCTAAGTGTTTCAACAATATTCCTGTGCACAATACAAAGGTAAGAACAACTTTGCAACCAGTTGTGGCTACTTGGCAGAATAATATATATGAGATACATACTTTCCTAATTAACCAAATTTTCACTTGTTCCGTCGCCTCTATTATTGTAGGGTGAACGCAAAGTATGGCATTTTCATATGTTGTAAAAATACTATTAAATTATCAACTGCATAATACTACACCAAACCAGGAGATATTAGCTCAGGTCTGTGCAGATAAAAATGTTAAGAGTTAACACATACACTTCATCAGAGTAGTAAAGAAACCTCACCTGAGCGAAAGCTCAACAAAGTTTGTTTGGACACTATGATACTAGGGGAAAACAGAAGAATACAAAGAGTGTGGGTTTAGAACTTTGTACTAATCTTACAATATTTAACAAACAAATGCAAATAAGAAAAAAGAGAGGATATTATCCCTTAAACATAGAAATCTTTATCTTACCTAATTTTTCATCACCCAGATATCAATTTTAGAACAATGCAGACGGTATTGAGTAGTACGAGAGGAACTCTCAAGTACTGTGTTGCGTAAATGAGACCTATAATCTGTCCCTTGACTGACTTTGTCCTGCCCACTGAGAATTCTGCGAGGCTCCATCCTCTAGGCGCAAGGAAGCGGTCCTCATTTAATATTGCTAGTGCATTTGCAAGAAGCAGAAAGCCTTCAAGTAGTGTCATCAAACCCATTTACCTGAAAAATGAATAATTTATTTCACATAAGCTACAAATGCCTCTGAGTTTTAGGCATTTAATCCCCATTCCCGATCCCCTCTTCAATCTAATACATAAATGAGAAAAAGGAGAACAGTTTAACAACTTTTTCTGTGCAGCAAAAATGAAAGCATAGAATAATTCTCCGGAGAAATTAATTTCACATTTGTAATGAAGTTGCTATAGTCTCAAAGACATGCAGTCCTATTTGCATTTGTCGGTAAATGGGCACAGGCAACTGCACCAACGAGTATGAAAGTATCCAGGGATGATTGTTTAAATGCAGCTGCCAAGTCATCAGCTATTCACTGATGGCTATGCAAGAGTCCACATCTATTTGTAGATGAAAATTCCACATTGCTTACAATACCTAAGTAGATTTAGACCATGTAGACGAATCATAGAGCACTTGTTTGTGCTTTCTCAGTTTCCTAACCTTGATGTGGAGAATATATAAAATTCCGGTGACAACTAGGACCTCATTATCTAAATCATAGGACTGAAATGAACTCTTCCAGGCTGATTGTTACCTAGATCTTTGATGAATCGGTTATGTTATTGAGATTTTTTCATAAGTTGAAAACTAAGCTCCAATGACCAGCCTGATGACCCAGAAAACAACAACATTTTACACCAATTCTAAAATATTCAGAAAAATTAAAACCTAATAGCATTCTGCCACAAACAGTAACTTAGCCTTTTCCAAAAATGGGACAACCCCAGAGTACCAAACTTGGCGTTTTCCAACAATGGGACGCAAAACCTAGCAACCTAGGAAATCGAATCCCCTCAAATAGAGCGGTAAACCTCAAAACACATGTAAATCTATGCGTAATAGATGAAAATCAAGAATACCCGAGTCAGATTGAAGATGTAAAAGCTTAAATATAAACCCGGGCAGCTTCAATGGAAGAAATGGTTGCAAGAACAACCCAGTTATTGAGAAATACATATTAAACTTACAAATTACAAATGTTATGGGAAATTGATAAAATACAAGTGCCATTTTAGAAATTGGGAAGGAAAATAAAAACCCACTAACCTGATGCTAGCACCTGATCTCAGAGAGACAGACTTGGATTGGAGGTGTAAATGGCTAAAACGAAGAGTACAGGAACAAGTAGAACGTGCCCTTCTTTTTTCTGCTTTCTTTTTTTTTTTTTTTTAAAAAATTTCTGGTTTAGTGTTGGGCCTGATGAGCCTGCTGAATGTATATCCTTGTTTGGGCCAGCGCCTAGTAATAATTGTCGCAATTAAACTTTTCTTTTTAATTTTATTTTTTCTTTACCCAAAAGAGGAAAAAGAAAATGGAAAAAGAAAAACCTTCTCGTGTCATGTGTCATAATTTACGAACGTTTAGACAAAAGTGGGAAGCAGACTAAATTCTAATCTCCAACAGTCTTCAAAACTTCTGTAACCTTAGAGACTGCATCTCCCAATATGAGCTTCTCTTAGTTTTCTACCTATCTAAGATTCACCAAATGCACAAAGAACAGATATTTAAGGGAGAACCCATCTGCTGCTTCAGTACACTTTGTATGTACATGATTTGAGATAGCTAAATTAGCTAAAGATATGATCTTTGCATGAATATTTACAGCTCGAGCCACACTTAAAACACCCTTCCTCTTAACTTTCGTCTCCCTGTTGTGATCTTTTGGGTTGTTGTTGTTGTTGATGTTGAGTCTGAGCCACTAGACCTTTCACAAATGCAACCTGGAAAAGGATTTGCATAGAAGTTCTCCTCAAGTTTGGGCAAATTTCTGGAAATTCTGCGATATGGTCCTCCAATCCTTTTTTCGTGTAACTTCTTAACCCGGGACGAGAATTTTTTCCAAGTTATCACCCCATTGTCCAACTTATCAATCAATCGCACAAACCTTCGTCTGCAGGGCACATAAGTTTGAATATTAGAGAGAGCTTAAATGAAGATTTGGTTTAATATATTGCGCAATAGTGATGCTTACTTGTCAGGGCTGATAGTTTTCCTAAACCCTTCAAATCTTCTATGACCTTGGACTGCCTTGGCCATATTTCCATCATGAGAATAGATGAAAACATCACTCTCCACTGCTATAATATAGTCCAAGGCAGCAAGCTGATTGAGCTTGTCCTTGTATGGTTGTAGCTCTTCTTCAGTTGCTAAATTTGAGTGGAAAAATATATTAGGATACTTGTCTTGCACTGGTTTAAGCCCTTCTTGCCCATAAATCTCACCAGCCACTATGTATATTTTTGTATCTGAAGGAAACCCAATTAAAACCCCCCCAGCCACTATGTATATTTTTGTATCTGAAGGAAACCCAATTGCTTCAAGGAACACAGAAACCTCTCTTGGGGTCATGGGGCATTGTCCTAAGCGTCTCTGCTCTATGCCGTTGATCCTTTTATGCTTCCAATGCGGCGTCTGCTCCCTTATTGTTTCAAGCTCTCTATCCTCCTCTTTGGTAAGATTGTGACTGCAGCCTGTGAAAGAAAGCATGTCCTTCTCATATCTGCATGTACAAATATAATGTGCTTGTCACTGGTTAGAAAATTATACAGAAACAATATATGATTGACACATTTTGTTGTGAAGTACATTGTTAATTTCTTGGACACACCTTAAATGGAGAGCAATGTATCTGCTACCATTCTTCTTTAATCTGTCAACCAACTTCATCCCGAGTTGTTCGATTTCAGCCGTGAATCTCAGTGCCTTAAACAAAGCACGGCAGCGGAGCCTCTGGATTGAGGTAGCAACATTGTTAGCAAGTCGGGAATCTGTGAGGGTGAATTTAAGCACCCGGTGCTTCTGCAATAATGAGACCATCTGTTGTTTATAGTAACTGGGCTGGTCACAAATTGTTACACATTGTTAGATTCAAATCCCACTGGTTTTATTGAAAAAGGCTAAAAACAATCTTGACCATACCTTCGACCAAGAAACCGGAGCCTTAACCCGGGGCTTCACTTCTGCAAGCTCTGGTGGAAGTGACTCTACAATTACGATATCATCTCTTAAAACCTCCATGAAGTTCTTCCAGTTGAAAATGTCTTTAAAATCACTGAACAAATCAATGTTAAAAAGAGAATGAAGGGATGTTAAATTTTCAACTACAATAGCCTAATCTATTATGGGCCAGTATAATATTAATTAAGAATCCTAACCTCGGGTCGGTCCAAAAGGATTTGTGATCTAAAGAAGGGAGAACAAGAGTGGCATTCATAAGTTTTGCTACGGCAACCATGTCACCTATCTGCAAGTTCAATTTATTCAGAAGAAACCCAAGAAAGGAAAGTATGAAAGTCCCAAAACATAGAAGCTAGCTTAATTGGTTGCCTACCCCAAGCTTCATTTGATTCAATCCACCATTGGAACGAATTAGGAGATAGCCATTTGTGGCTGTTCCATTCCCTGTTACAAATTAAACTTATAATTTAATTAAAACGATTCATATTGTTTGTGATGACTAGTTTCCAACGCAGTATCACAAAAGATAATTCATTGGGGATGAAAACTTTCGGGACGTACGAAATTCCTTCTTCGATCGATTTATGCATTGGTAATAATTAGCATTCTCTGGTGGCGCCCAAATATCACCAGTCTGACTAGCAGAAATCAAATAAAAGATGGGATCACAATCTCAGGTGACTAAAAAATGATACCCCTACTATGAAAATTTAACTAAACTTACAATCTGACCTGGAACTTTCCTGTATTTGAGTCAAATAATTGCTGCCACCTTCACTGACCATGTTTTGTTGCATTGTTGATGATATCCCTGGTCGAATGAAACCTATTGTTTCCATCATCCTCAATTCCGGAAACGTACTGAGCAAAGCAAACTTGGCCAGAACTGACACAAAAGCTAATACCATCAAAACCATGGAAGCCCATCTGCACCACCCTCTTGAGAATTCAGACAACCTGCGCACTCTACGGCGAAAAAAGACGGCATTAACATTGGCGTCATCGGACTTGACAGGAGTATCTTGTTCTTCTACGGCTTCATGCACACGTCTCCTTGACCTGGTGCATGAGTTGTGATGATCAGCAGCAGAGTTTGACATGGAGATAGAAACAAAGAAACAGAGGAGATGCAGAGTAATGGGATAAGGAAGCTTGAAAGAGAGAGAGAGAGGGAACGTGGGAGGAGATTACAGTTTAGTTTAGTGGGTTGAGGAGGTAACGGCCTGTGTTAGTGTTACGAAGTTTGTGAATTCAATTCGTTTTTATTTTATTTAATGGGTTTATAATTTAAAGTGGGAGCGGATTATAAGGCGGATGAGGCTCTGTGTTTGTGATGTTATTGGCTATATATATAATTTGTGTTGGTAATTCAAAACTTAAACAGAGCAAACACCACATATTATCCAAAGCAAAACCCCCAACGTACACAAGAAATGTTGATGGTGTTCCACCTGCACCAAACAATCTTTCTTTCTTTTTTTTCCTTTTTTGTTATTTTGGAATGAATTACCATAAACACAATGGTTTGCTAAATCTGAAACCACCGGTCCACAAGTGAAGACCATTTTCCAACAAGTTAGACCCGGTTGACTTATAAACATGTTTACTCACTATATTTTCTACTAGGTTGGAACCTACTTGACATAAGTATAATGAATAGATATGATACAAATAACATTATTTGAATAGTTTGAACATAAATCTCTTACACTGGTATCCCTAACTCCAGCTATAAACCTATAAAAGATTTTTTTTTTTTTTTTTTTTTCTCAATCATCGGGGAGGGATAATTTGAATTTAGGATATCTTCCAACGCTGAGACGAAAAATAACACTAGACCAAGAAGCATGATCATTAAAAAAATAAATAAATAAATAAATAAATATATATCAAAATACAAAAGCTTTCAGATTTGGGTTGGGCTAGGATCCGAAATGATTACTTGGACTCATAGATACTTACTTGGGCCTTCTTATAATCGATAGTGGGTTTCATACCCATAATAAGGCCCATCTACAAAGTCACTTCCTTTTATATAAATACCGTAATCTTCTTGCAGACCAATTTAGGGTTTTAGGCCCATCTACAAAGTCACTTCCTTTTATATAAATACCGTAATCTTCTTGCAGACCAATTTAGGGTTTTAGGCCCATCTACAAAGTCACTTCCTTTTATATAAATACCGTAATCTTCTTGCAGACCAATTTAGGGTTTTAGTGCTTCTTCTACGCAGGCGTCTGTGGTTGCTTACTGGTAGAGACATAAACCCCAAAACGCAAAAATGGTGAAGGAACGCCAAGGAGAACGAATTAGGTAATTGATCCATTTCTTGCCTCCCCCAAAACCCTAATTTCTGGAAATGTTAATCCGATTACATGTATCAGATTTGTAATACTTTCTCACTCTAATGTCTTATATCAGACTCTACGTCGGGGGCACCGTTCTCGGATACAAAAGGTAATTGATTTTGTATTGTGCTTTTTGTTATTGTTTGGCTGCAATTCTTTTTCTACTGATAAATCCATAAAATTGAAGAAGATTTGATTTTGTTTTTCGGTTGTGAGCTAAATGGAGACTAGGGTTTGAGCTGACTGATTGTTTTGGTTAGGTCTAAGTCAAACCAGTACCCGAGCACCTCCTTGATTCAGATCAATGGAGTGAACACCAAAGAAGAGGTGGCATGGTATGCTGGAAAGCGCCTGGCGTACATCTACAAGGCCAAGGTGAAGAAGAATGGGAGCCACTACCGCTGCATTTGGGGCAAGGTTTCCAGGCCTCATGGTAACAGTGGCATCGTTCGTGCTAAGTTCACTTCCAATTTGCCACCCAAATCCATGGTATTGTGTTTATATTAAAAATGTTAGTGTGCTATATGTGTAGTGGTTTTTTATCAATGCCATTTCTGATTGTGTTTTTTTTTCTGTGCTTCCTTTGTAGGGTGCTCGTGTTAGGGTATTCATGTATCCCAGCAATATATAAGGTACTTTTTCTTTGAGTTCTGTTTTGCTTTGTTTTTAGTTCTAGTGTTATTTGTATGCAGTGTATGTTGTGCATGGCTGTTTGTATTTGAAGTTTTGATTTAGCATTGTAAGATTTTTTGGATTTGCCTCAATACAATGTGGATGAATATGCTACTTCAGCATGTGTTTTTGCCTTTTATTGTTACACAACTCATGTCTGTGTTTTTGTGAAATTGAG